TATAATGATAATGTGCAGCATGCCAATTTTTTTAGGCATGCTAACTGATGTGTACAGAAATTATGTGTAATATGTGGGTGGCATGCCTCATGGCATGCCATTTGCAGTAATGGCATGCCACTGGCATGCCAATTTTTTTGGGCATGCCAGACTCCCTACCTGTGCGTCCCGAAATAACGTGCCCCCTTAATATATATAATAGTCGAAAAGCATTAACTATGTAATAACATGTATTTATAAATCGAATTACTAATTTTATATACAGTTAGTAATGACCATTATATCTTTTTATGTGAATTAATGAATTAGGAGGTAGAATTTTTTTTGATATTTGTATGATGTCTTCAATCATGGATTTTCGGAATTTCGTGGTAGAACCAAATAATCTTATTATCGGCTTAATTAAACGAAAAATTTAATTTGATTATCGCACATTAGATATATTCAATAATGTATGGCGATAGGTCAGATAAACATTTATATAACGATAATGATAAAGAATTAAAACGCTATTACTATGTGCGTACAGAGAATAAAAGTAAATTTTTCTAGAAATGAAAATGTGTAGTAGGCGTTCTTTAAACGATATAAAAAATATAATTACTGTAACTATTTTAGAGTAAAGAGTATACTGCATCTTTAATCCGCCTCTCCATTGAGTTAATCAATTGGTTTTGCCTCATGCGGTCAAACAGAAAAAAAAAAAATAGCGGTAATTAAAGAGGGATTACAGTAATTTTGGCAGAATCCGCAAATAGAAAGAATTCTCTTCCCAACTACAGTATTAAATAAGCCCACCTTGAATTTATTTAATAATTTATGATTGCTACTAATAATTAAAAAATTTTAATTATTTATGCTTGAAATTCAAATTAGAAATTAAATTTAGAGAAAATTTTTAAAAGGAAGTTTAAGATATGATATTTTTCCTTTACGGCAATCCTTGCAATCACAGTTCATACAATATGAATTAAATGATCCATAAATAATTTCACGCATATTGACATTGATAAAGCCATGATGTTTGCAACTTTAAGCAGAACAATGCATTAATTGATTCACAAAAACTAGGCTTTCATTACTTTCGTCATTCCTACTATAATTCCCAAAGTTTCCAGGAAAGATCTTGTTTTTATCATTTTGTGAAATCTCAATACCATAAGATAATTTTCGTTTTTCGTCACTTCTAAACCATTTAACTTGTACTTGCCCAAAATCATAATACTTAAATATTTCATAAGTCATATCTAAATCAACGACACTGATATGTGATCAAATTTAATCGTGTTAATTAAAAAAAAACTCAAAGTGTAAAAAAAGATGTTATAAAATATTTACCAAAAATGTAATAAAATCTTTTCAAAATACTCGAATCAATAGAATATACTCCGTTACAATAAGTATATGCAAACAAGCACACATTTTTTTCATTTTTAGAAGGCGAGAAATGAGTACCAATAATTGTAGGTTCGTATTTATTAGTCTCTGAACTTTGTTCTGACACACAAGTACTTAATATGCAAGTTTCGTTAAGTTTTCGAAAACTTTGGACTGCAGGAATTGAAATTTGCATAAAATTTCTGTCCTCGTAAAAATCACTAAATTTATAGCTTCTAAGTATTACTGGATATTCTGGTATTGTTATATCAAAATCGAGATCTGTTGGTTTTCCAACAACAATCCAACAAATTTTAAATGAATAACTTTTTTTAAGTAGATACCATTTTCTACTCCTTTTATGTTGGATTAATTGAATAATTATTTCGGTTGTGTCTTCGTCAACAAAATCAACATGCAAAGAAAATACTTTCCTAACATTTTTATTCATTATTGATGCATAAATGTGACATTCAGAAAGATTTTGGATTTTAGTTAGCTTTGTTCCAAACGGTAAATTTATCGTTGTTTCATTAGGATCAAAACTTAAAGATTCAACACCAGCTCTTAAAATTCGATAGCCCAAAATATTTAAGATTTCTTCCCACAAAATTTGGCTCTTGCTATCATAATTTAACAAATGAAATATTATTTTGATATCTTCATATCCAATTATTTCCCACTGATTAGGATCATCTCCGCCAATAGTTTCAAATTTAGAAGTTAAATTACTATTAAATCTCTTTATTTCATTATTATCTTCATCTAAAATTTTTAAATTAACGTTATTCACAGAAGATCCACTTCTGAATTGTGCTTCAGTGCTATGAGCTTTTAAAATGTCACCTATAATTCAAAATTACAATCAATTAAGTAAAACATTGATTTATTAATAAGAAATAAATAATTACCTAAACTATTAGAATAAACTTTTGCTTCAATCACAGCCTTTCCGAAAACAATTTGTCTGCATAAAAACCACCATATTCATCTATTATATTACGAAGTGCCTTTATTTTATCCAAATTTGTACTCATTGTTAACGTTTCCTTTATATCGTTAATAAACTCATGGGTTGGCGTAATGCAAGATTTTAAAATGATTTCTGCCATTTCCGACTTTTCATGATAATATTTAGAATAAACTTTAAAATGAGTAAGCGTTTGTTTAACATTCCTATTTGATATTCCAAGAAAAACAGAAAACCAATGAAAATCTTCCTTAATTTTTCCCGCTAATATGAAGTTTTTGTTGCGAAAAATGTCGAGTTCATGGTTGTATATTTTATCAGTTTTAGTTTTCTGGTTTAACTTGTTAGGCAGCATCAATATCAAATGCTACTTTGAAGGCAGTATTGACTAATTGAATGATTCATCTTCCTTGAAGTTGAATCCTCGATTGCATTTTACAATAAGCTGAGTTCGAATTTCATTTGAAATTTGAAGTTCTGAAGATTCATTTGAAATTTGAAGTTCTGAAGATTCATTTGAAATTTGGAGTTCTGAAGATTCACTTAAAGCAAAATTGATAATATCAAGAGATTTTTCGAAATCTAAATCCATTCAACCTCAAAGTAACTATGGTCTACAAATCAAAATATTTACTTATGTACACAGTATAGTAGGACAGTACGTACGGTAATGCAAATTTAATTTATGTCACCGAACCGACTGTAAATTGTGTAACGAAAAAGATTTAACCCACTCCTATCTTTTTTTATCGGCATGCTGTATATCGTTTCCAATAATGTTAAGATTAGACGTAGATCATCTTTTTTTATTGGCTATTTTTATACTCGTGACCCGCCACATTTCCTTTAAGGCTAAAACGGAAAGGATTTTCATCAAATAATTTTATATTATCTTATCGTTATCATTATCATTATTATTATCTAAACTATCTTGATATATATGATATATATGATATGATATCGATATAGATATTGATATAGCCCCAAAAAATTTTTTATCGTATTCGGGTTGTATTTATAAGATTTTTAAGTTCGGCGACTTTTGATTCCACAATAAGATGTATCGGTATGCATTGCTATGTAAACTTTTGTTAACAAATTCTCAGATCATTTCCGATTATAGCTATATTTCCATAATTAGATGATGCATTCTAAGAGGTTTACTAAATATATGCCAAATTTTATAGTAAAAATATACAGTATATTGTGAAAATCAAGACGTCCAAAGTTATGTCTTGACTATGACATTTACAGTCTTCTACATAATAATATCGAACCCAATTATATATTTATGATTTTAAAAATCAACTTTGTGTAATATGTTATACACATCTTTGATAGTATTAATTGAGGTATAGATAATACTAATAACATGCATTAGTGAACCGTATGCTGCTTGTCAAAAGAATAATATAGTAAAACCTCTATAAGTGCACGCTCTTGGGCTAAGCTTTAACAACATGCATTTAGAGATCAATAAGAGAAAGTATATTTATAGGGGGCATGTATATATTTGGGCCAGAACTTGAGCATACATTTAGAGGGTGTGCACTTGTAGAGGGTGCAGTTATGGAGGTTTTATTGTAATAAGTTTTGCAACAGAATATTTACAGTATTAACGATAGAAATCATTGAAATAGTAAGTAAGTTCTGTAACAATGCTTACA